GTGTGTGAATGGGTGAATGACTGAATGTAGTGTGAAGCGCTTTGGGGTCCTTAGGGACTGAGTAAAGCGCTATACAAATGCAGGTCATTTACCTTTTTTTTTTTTTTTTAAGACACATCTCCCTCATTAACAGTCCCGTACACCTTTTCCCTCCCCGCCTCCGTGCCGCCCGGAGAGCTCACCGTGTCACCCCTCCTCTGCAACAGGCCAGCAAACCACGCCCCGCCACAGTTAGATTCAACATGTGGGAGAACCCTAAAATTAAAAGTTGTGGTCTAATGTGAGCTTGAGGAGATTTTCTTTGTGGACAGGCTGTGATCAGCTGAGCTGCTGATCTTTGTGGATTCACACAGCTGACTTTAACAGATGTCAGCAGATGTTTCATGAGCCATCTTTGCTAACTTCCATTTCTCAGAGTACAGCGGTCCTTCGTTTATCGCGGGAGTTACGTTCTAAAAATGACCCGTGAGAGGTGAAATCCACAAAGTAGCTAGCTTTATTTTTTACAGTTATTATAGATGTTTTAAGGCTGTAAAGGCTCTCACTACACACTTTCTACACTTTTCTCAGACAGGCACGAACATTTTCACACTTTTCTCTCCTGTTTAAACTCTCAAAGTTCAAACGTTCAGAGAAAAATAAGCCCAGTATTACAGAATGAAACCAAAGATCAAACCCTGTTTTCAGGTCCAGAATAGAGCAGCTGCCAGAGAATTCAACATTAATGAATCAATGGTACGGAAGTGGAGGAGGCAAGAAGAATGAATAAAGTTTGTAGAGTAACAAAGTACAAGTACTTTGTTACTTCTCAGCTCTGTCTGAAACACAACAACACTTTCTCCAAAACATATGTCACGTACACACTCCCATTTGTGTAACTATTTTAAAATCCTGGTAGAATTGTCATGATCCTGGGTTTTTGACCCAGCGTTTTGTGTTTTCTATTGTGATATATTTTGGTTCTGTTCTTCCTCAGTTTAATGTTTAGTCATTTCTGTCGGTGTTTCCTCTGTGTAAAGTCCGTGTTCCTTAGTCTGTGTCTTTGCATGTGTGAGTTCCTGTTTTATTTTGCAGGTCTGCGTCTCTCGTTAGTGTTTCTAGTTTCGCTTCCCCTTGTCTCGTTATGTCCAATTACTCCCAGCCGTGTCTCCCTCCTGTTTCCCATTCCCTGATTGCCCTGTGTGTATTTAAACCCTGTGTTTTCTCGTGTGCGTTGCTGGTTTGTCTGCGTTATTTGGTGTTTTCTGGTCTGCGTCTCTCCCTCCGTCGTCTCAGGTTGTCTCTCCGGTTGTCTCTCCGGTTGTCTCTCCGGTTGTCTCTCCGTGTCTCCCTGTATCTCCCTATATCTCTCTGCATCTCTGTTTCTGGTTTGTTTTTGTTAGTTTTTCCAGTTTAGGTTTTTTTCTTAGTTTCATGCTCACCCTCGCCATCTCTGTTTGTATCAACATTTGATGAATAAACTCACTTGCATCTGAGCTGCCTGCATAAAGGGTCCTTTAATAATTTACACACGGCTTGCCCCGCAATGACACAAATAAGCTAGTGCAATCATTTTTTTGCGTATGAAACCACAGGAGTTGTACTTACACAGCATGCATTCAACTTGTGCCAGGTCAGGGTTTCCTTTGCAAAAATCAAGTAAAACGTGCTCGCAACCACAGTAACATAATCCAGAAACACACCTTGATCAGCTGTTCATAGCACTTCCTACGTTGCAATTAACATCATCAAATTGTCAGTGCGAACTTTCAAGTCCGCCATTACCTGGGGAAACCGGAAGTGGTGTCGCTTTTTGTGGGGAACATAGTTTTCCCCCTACAGGGCCTTTCAAAGGTCAGCTGGTGTTTTTGAAAGTCATGTTTGACTTTATGCCTTTCTGTGTAGTTTCTGGGGGGCTTAGAACTTAAATTACACTGTTGGAAATTGTTTATTTTCATGCACATGCTGCTTTGTTGCAAATTGTGCACAGTAATATTTATTTTCATTTTTCCTACAGTTTATAATACGTAGTGTATCTCAAAAATGAAATAACTTTCCTGTGGTTGGAAACTATTTTGTGCAACTTTTTTACATTTACAGTTTTGAGGGATATGCCTGTGAAATTTCTGTAACTAGAAATATTCATAGGAAACAGAAGTAAACCTGCAGTCTGAGACTGAAGTGTTCTGTGGGGAAATACTGTATGTAAGATGTTTTATGTGATGAGAAGGATTTTAAATTAGATACTGGACTTAGCAGGGGGCCATGTTCTGTGCATGGAGGCTTTCAGCCCAAGTCCAGCACCCTCAGATGATACACTTAGCGAAAGGAAGGAGGCTAAGAACTAGTGAAAGTCAGAACCACTATTCAGAATGAAACGGCTAAGATCCATGAGTAAACCAGGAACATGGTGAGTACATGGTTCTGTTGAGGCAACAGAAACACAGAGAACGGAAACATCATGGAAAGACAAACCTCTGCACAACATGCACCACCAGCAGATAGAAATACCTGATATTGAAAAATCCTACCAATGGCACCAAAGGCACAAGCTCGATAGAGGCTGGGGTCTACCACACCACAGGTGCAGTTCAGTCCCAGTTCTATGGTTGAACCCTCTCACAAACTGGTGATGACCAGGCGTAGAAGAAGAAGACGGCCATAGTGATAAATATTAATGATAGGTTTGTAGCTTGAACCTATTCGCTGGAACGTTGAAGACAATATAATTACACAGCAAAAGCATTGAACACCAAGTAGGCAAAGTTCTTCATGTTACTCATGCATGAGGGAGACCTGCCTGGAGCCAAGTGTCGTTCCACCACTTGACCTCCGTCAGACTCTCAGCCAGGTTCCCCATAGCACTCCTTTTATTGTGGTTACATGAATATGCATAGGGTCATTAACATATGACGTCTACATACAAGTAAAGAGTACCGTGTGTGTGTGTGTGTGTGTGTGTGGGGTCAGAGTGTGACCCCATAAATGACTTCCCTAAACCTGCTGGTCTGGAAGTCCAACAGTTCATCTAAACAAAAGGCACTTAGCCTAAAACAGATATAGCCACGTTTATCCTACCATAAAACAATAAGACAAGGTACGACCTCTTCCCATGCTCCCAGGATGTAGGTGTGCATTCCAGTGTGGAATACACACCAAGCCTTTGCAGCCTGCTAAAGATCACACATCCTATCACTACACAATTGATTATACACCTCTAAGCATATATGGTTAAATATTTCTAAGCATAAATGACAATCAACAATACAAAACCTAACAGTTATACCAGGTAGAAGCAACATCAGGAGGACGTAACACAAAAAGCTCGACACAACCCAAGGGCTGTGAGAGGAGCTTGTGTGGAGGGTGAAGCCAATAGTGGTTCACGAGGTGTTTGGGGCACTCAGGGCATGGACCCCTAAACAGTGTGAGTGGTAGTGCTTGTAGGACCATCACGCTCCCAGTTCTGTGGCTGACAAACTGAGCTTGAAGGGTAACGACCATACAACATACAAATTGTGTCAGGAGTGCTGCTGTTTCTTTTTTCGCTCCAGTTCCTCCTCACTCTATAAATTATTTTCTTATACAAGACACATCTCCTGGATGCACTGGTACGCATCTTCAGTGATGTATCCTGGGGTCATCAGGTGTTTCGGGTCTCACAACATCCTACACCCTCACCCAGGCGACCCAGCCGGGGGTGATCAGGCCCCTACTTGCGTACCAGTAGCTACCCATGGATCAGCCCTCTTAATCCACAGCCACCTTGTGGCTTTCTCTGCCGCTTCGCTCACAGCCTGGACGGCCCTCTTCTTGGCTGCCCCAGCCATGCCCAGCCGGCCTAGGACTTTGCAGAGAGATCGTCCTGCAAAGCCCCTACATCCCACTTCTATGGGCTCATAGAAAGTCTTCCAGCCCCTTCCCCTGCACTCCTGCACTAGTTCCTGGTACTTTCCTTTCATTGGCCTCCTCGATCCGCTCCTCCCAGTGTACTGTGAGTTCCACCATGATCAGAAATATAGTGTCAGGATGATAGATGGTCTTCAGCTCTGGTATTCCTTTAAGATGTGGCCCTTTCTCTGGGCTTCTCTTTCCTGATGCAGTTTTCTCTTTAGTGTCTGTGTGATTTCACTACTTCTAAGGAGATCAGCCACAGTCCCTGATCTTTGACAGAGATTACTTTAATCCCAATTTGAGGTTATAAAGTGTCTAATCCACATCTCACACACTGTGATTCACATGTGACATTTTCAGTCTATGCAATGAATGAATTATATATTGACTTTTACAGAAAACATTTTAACAACTTTAGCCTCATTAGGTAAAATAATATGTAAATATGCATAATGAAAACCAGATTATAAGACAAAATTGTAAACAATACATATGTGGTCAGGATGTAAACAAGCATGTAAACACGTGAAACGAGCTTTTTCAGGAAGGTCTTTAAACGTGACTGAAGCTTCCCTAAAACATCATTCAAGTTTTAACTTTGCTTTCTGGATAAACTTCATTCATTTCCTCTACAGGTCAGTCTTACGTGCAAAGTGGGGCCTCAGAGTTGGAGGCTCTTCAGGAGGCCTACAGGCAGGTCCATGCTGTGGAGGATTCAGATGACCGTGGTCATCATACCTCATCTTTGGAAGTGAGATGGAGCATCAACAGACCTCTGTCTCCTTCCTCTCCTCCTCAACGTGCCCAACAGTCTCTGCAGCCTGTTTCTACCAGTGAGTCAGGTCAGAGATGATTCTACTTTAAGTCTTTGTCGGTCTGAGTATACAGTGTATAAACCCCAGGTCTGTGGTTGCTCAGTGAGCGTACCCTAACGGCTCTTTCTGACACTACAAATGAGAAAATTTGCAACATGGATGAACCCTCAATGTCATTTGACAGTTTTGGAAAAAGCATCAATATTTTTTGATTATTTTCTTTGTCCACAGATTTCAAAGACTTGAGAGAAACGTCTTCATTTCACATTTGTCACACCTGGGCTCCACTTCTGTGTCACATCATGTCACTTCATGTGTGTTAGCCCTATAAATAAGATGCATCCTACTTGTGCAAAAGTATTTGTGATGGGCAGGATCGTTAATGATAAAAGTATGCTAAGAAATTCTTTTGTCTTTGTGTGTATTTAGAGCTGCCCACTGCAGAAGAGCTGATGAGGCTCCTCCGACCAGAGGCAGCTCAAATTAGAGGCTTCACCCTCCAGCCTGTCAGGTCAGGACTACGCAGTTGATGGATTCTCAGCAAGCTGCCAGCTTGTTTTCCTCCCAGTTCATCAGTATCTCAGTGTTTGTGGCACAAATACAGCGTTCAAGTAACATTTGAAGGGACTCACTGTAAATATTCAAACGTCAGCCAACAGACAAGCTTAAATCCGACGTCACATTCTGTCTTAACTATGTTAAGGAGCGATCGTGGCTCAAGAG